ATTAGACTGTCCCATCGGGCGGCGCGTACCACCGGTGGTCCACCGTGGTCCAGGTTTGAACAAGCAAAAATCACGCGCCGCCAGATGAAACGCATCTTAGATTCCGAGTGCCGCCCCACAGCGCAGACACTGAAAATCGGCGCCGGTGTCAACGTGTTAAATATTAATTTGATTTATCAAATCAAATTACATATAATAATAATAATAATAATAATAATTCATTGCAAGTGTGTTTAATTTTAATTAAATGATATATATATATATTTTAAATGTTTAGTTGAAATGTGTTAAATTCAATAACGAAAAGCAAGTCAATTGACCTTCGGTTGGTCAATGGATGCCAGGATGTCTGGAGCCCAGCCACCAAATCTCTCCTCGACCCATCTTTCTGACATACAAAAACCACAATTTTATTTGTTCCTTAAAATCTATAATAAAACAAAAATATAAAATTATGATTGTTTATTATCATGTTATTTTCTTTGTTTTTACGTATTCGTCGTACAATTTTTAAATATCGATTTACATATAGCATTATATTTTACGATTACATCCAGCCATCCCATAACCACCCCCCCACCCCAACCCACCCTTTTACAAAACGTAGATATAACTGTGAAACACGAGCGTACGTGACAGCACATTCGAAAAGTTCTCGCGTCACTTTCAGAGCTTATTAATAACACGGCTGATCTCACAACCAGGAGTGAAAATCACTTCGTCAGCTTGACTTAGTGAGAGATTAATTTCCGAACGTATATATGTACGTACGTACGTAGGAACGTCGTTAAAGCTTGAATTAAAACCTATTTACCGCATGTTTATAAGGGCTGATAACGTAGCATAGAACGTTTAAACGGAAACGCCAGGGAATTATGATTGAAATCATGTTTGTACGACGTTAAATATGTCTGCTACGAAACGAGAAGGGAAAAAAAAACGAATTAATATCTCGTCGTATTTTCTATCGATCATTTGTTAAACAAATAGTATATATGTTAAATCAATGGATAATTTGCGTAGGAACAGGTGTTAATATTTGAAAAAGAGAATCTTACGATTTATTTTCAATTTCATTGCAATTCATTATTTCGTTGTTTAATAATTGTTCGGTCATTTTGATATTAACATTAATAAATCGTACATTGGTTTTGTTATTTTTTTTGAAATATTTTCCATTTCTTTTTAAAACAGGTAAGTGTCGTGCAAAGTTTGTTTTTTGTTTGTTTTTTTTCATTTTCACATTATTTAAAGAACATGAGACACATTCAATACTAATCGATAAGGATCTTGTCATTTCATTATTAAACTAGGTGTTGAAGGTTTAGAATGAATGTTTTTATAAATACTACTTGGTTTTATTGTAAACATCAGAAATTACTATTGCGAATGCAGTATGAAAATATTTGTTCAGTCTCATCCGTAACTAAAATTCATCATTGAACTCGAGAGAGAAACGTGTTGCACTTTTAAAAACAAAAAATATAGGTCGTTGTTTGTCAATGCTACTACAACGAGGATTTTTGTATTTTTTTTTTTATTTACTTATTCATTTCAAAAACAATAGATACACAAAGTTAAACTAGTCAAACTTCTATTCTCTATCAGTTATAGATTATCAACTATTTACTTATAAATATTATTCGTGCAAAAAAAAAAAAAAAGACAATAAAAATAGTACAAATCCAATGTAAAATATTTAACATTTTGTTAAAGTAAATAAGAACAAAATAAAAACTTATTATTATCGATAGTATAAACGAAACAAAATAATAGAAATCTACTATTACCAATCGTAAGTGAATAAAATAGAATTCTACTATTACCGACAGTTGATATTTAAAATAAAAAATCAATTATTATCGATAAGAGTACAACACAATCTACTATTACCGAAAGTTGATAAGAAAATACAGAAATCTGCTATTTTTTTTTTTTTTATAAAAAAAAAACAAACCTAATAATAAATGAGACGACGGGATTTGTATGAGGCCCCATATAAAATATACAAAAAAAAAAAAAAAACTAAAAATTATTAACACATGAATAAGAGTTGATAATGTAAGTAGGATTTAATTAGTTTTGCCTTATATTGTTAGTTGAAAAATTAACGGAGTATTAAAATCTATATCATATTCTATAACAATATATCTCATATAATTTCAATCATTTAGAAATAATAATGAAGAAGCTTTGTAAACATAATTCAAGGCCTCCCATATAACATGTCTGTATTCATCATTTTCTCACACAGCTGTTTTTATTACAAATTAATGCACTTATTTTCTTTATTTCATAATAATAATGCTTCAATATAAATAAATAATATAATAAATTATTAATTATTTTCTATCTCATCACTGTGATAATCAATTTCTTAACTATCGTTATTCAGAATTAATCATTTGTGTGGAATATTAATGTTTTTTTTTTTTTTTTCTTTTTAATTTAAATACACTTTCAAAAACAAATCATATTATCAAGTGTATTTATCATACAGATTTTTATTGATTTTATTGATAGAAGCAGTAGTTTTGTTTACAAAAGTTGATCAAATCTTTACCCTATGATAACCATAATCATTTGCATTTTGAAGTCTTATTACAAATAGAAGTAGCAATAGAGAATAATAGATTATATGAGCACGTTAGGTAGACAACACTCTCTTCAATATTTTATATATATATATATATACCTATGAAGAATTATATAAACAATTGCATATGACAACTGCATAAGCTATATAATAATAAATTCGCTATAAAAATTTGACCCGAACCAAGAGATGAATACACACAGTATAAAAACTATTGCCTGTCCTTATTACATTCACAATTTAATTATTCATAATTTATATTACCTTTGCTATATCATTTTAATATGATAAAATGCTAATTTCTTTTTCTTTTTTTCTTCTTCATATATCTTGTATATCGCTTGCCTTTAAAAAAGATATATATATGTATATATATATATACCAGACGACAAGCTCGTAAATCCACTGCTTTTAGTGTATCAATTATTTACCTAAACGTATTTATATTTATGTATACATATATGTATTTATATATACATATATATATATATTCTATATAATAATTCTAAGCCGCACTCAACGAGACACTAAAAACTTACCCTTTGATATTAAATTTGTGACATGTTTTTAAATCTTACATGACGACAACGACAATATTTTGCAAGTCTTGTGGAATATAAAGTTTTGAACTAGTTTTCATATTTTCTAGATGAAATTCATTGGATTATTTATATTTGATACGACATCTATGAGATATTAAGCATCTGAATATAATATGAATTATTTGATCATTTGAAAATGTAAATAATGCAGTAATAAATTTAGAAAAGATACGATATATTCATTGAGTGTAGCTATTAAAAAGAAAAAAAGGAACATTAATTATATTTTCTATGTTGAGCAATTCTATAAACGCAAAATGTTATTTGTCAGTATCTGTAAGTGTAAAGTAATGAATTTTATGCAAATTAAAAAAAAAAAAAAGAAAGAAAATAAGAGTTAACAAAACATTGATCTACTCAAAAATGTTAACTTTCCTTTTTCAATAGTGTTAACATATATTATTAATTTGTTTGTTTTCATCATATCGTAAAAAAAAGTCTTAATATCAAACCACTGTGCAGGGCCATTCCACTTTGTAAATTATTTATTATTTCTATATTATGTTTAAAAAAAAGAAACATATTTACGTGTCCCGCTACTATATAATCCGTTTTGATTTAGTTCAATAAAACATTAATCTACCGTTGTCATACTATACAATGGAGTTACTTATGCAACTGTGGCTTCATAAGACAGTAAATATAAGAGGAGTCAATTGTCTAGCACAGCTATATCAATTATTTACACATGCGTGACATTTGACTCTTTTTTAAAAAAAAAAAAAAAAAAAGTATTTTGTTCCAATTCAAGAAATGTTCTCTTCTTCTTCTAACGCATGTAATATTTTGTTTTTTCTTTTTTGTTTTTATAATGGAAGAAAAAAAGCAAATGAAAGAAACCAAAAGTAAAAGAAAGAAAAAAAAAAAAGAAAGAGAGATAAGGAAACATGGAATGACAAAGTTTATCCACAGTACTTAAAGGTACACAATTTAAATAAATTCTTTTTACAACACCACTACAATATTTTTGCAAAAGTAGTAGACAAACTTACAGAAATTTGCGAGTCTTGCAATATAAAATAACAGTATTTGATTCTAATTGTAAGACTCCAACACTGTACGATCTAAAGATGCTTGCTTTTAAACTTAAATATGCTTCCCATTGCACATGATTATATACTTTACAATATTTCTCGTTTTACTTTGTATCTTGTTTTTTTTTTTTTTTTCGTTCATTCCTTCGTTCGTTTAAATTTATATATTATTGGTGTCTCATCAAGTGTGGATTTTCTAAATATAATGTATTATAATCATATAATCTATCTGTACATTCACAACCGTTCAAATACACACACAATAATATTAACATATTTAATAATGGACCAGTAGAAGTAAAAATTATATATTATACTTGTGTTAGATCTTTTTTTTTTTTTTTTTTATAAACATGACACTTATTGTACAATTTTTTTTTAGCAAAAATTACATTATTTTTTTTTCAGATAAAGAGAAATTTGAAGTTAGTTATATTAAATTTACACTTTGTTCGAAAACAAATATTACAATATATTATTTATTATTATTATTATTACGGTAAAATACAATGGTTTCATAAAAGAAGCATATATTAGTTACATTAAAAAAGAAAAAGAAAAAAAGAAAAGAAAAACAGAAGAAAAAATAAAAGAATGGTGATTAATAACATTAGTAATATTACAAAAAAAGAAAGGACACATATAATGGATTTACGTTTCCCATACATTTCTCATAAGGTTTATTTCTGCATTGCATGCAAAACAAAAAAAAAGAAATCAATTCACCATATTTCTTCTCATGTATTCCTTATCATTCAGTCATCATTTATATAAGTAAGATATTACAGTAATTTGCTATGTACGAATTAATTTCAGTTATTTCCATATCAGATCCGAATGGAAGGGCTGTTTGTTTAAAAACTTCCGCTTCAGTTCTGATTTGAAATCAACTTCTCTCTATATAAGTCCATATTAAATATATTTTACAATAATATTATCATTGTACATGAACATATGCTCCCACCTTCAATCACAATCACCATTTCCAATCAACGCGCGCTTCTTAGGTATTTTTTACCTATATATATATATATATATATATAACAAATAAAATCTAATTTAAAAAAAATACACGCAACGAGATATGCATGTAAATAAAGTTTTTCTTTTCATTGTCATTATTATTATTATTATTATTATTGTTTTCTTTTTTGTTTTTTTTTTTTTTTTATTCTTGTTACGAATAATTCAAACAAAAATGTTTGAATGTCAAATCATCATAATTAACAAATAACAAAATGCGCTGATTAGAATAACGATTGGCAACAAGGTGTCAATTAGTTAGAATAGACCTGGGGCGTGGATTTGTATACCCCAATGTGTGCGCCGCCTTCGTACCTGCTAGAGTAAAAGAACAAGTTTTACAATTCTGTTGTAACTTATAAATATTGTTTTTTTGTTTACAAAGTTTATTTAACAAACAGTATTTAATATAAAATCGCTATTGAATCGAATATAAATCGAATAATAATGGAGAAATTGTAAATGAATCATTAAACGAAGATATTAAAATTTATCAAATATAATTCTCTGTTGTCTCTTCTTTATGATAAATTATATATATATATATATATTCTATGCATAAATTGAAATTTACGAAATAATTAAAAGTACGATATAATAAGAAAAACAAAACAAAAAAACTTACATAAGAATGTGATAAAATAGGCGGAAGAAGGTTATTCCTTATTTTCATCAGAAGGAGTGACATTAGAAGGATTTTGGGATTCCGATGAAGACGGTGGTACTTCTGCCGTTGAATCTGTCGCATCTTGACTCGAATCTGAACTATCCTTGATATCCTCGTCTTTCTTTTCTTCACTTACACCAGTGCTTTTAGAAGATTCTTCTGCAGAATTTTCTGATTCTTCCGTTCCTTTATTTTCCTTGGAATTTGTTTCAGGCAATTTATCAGTCGCATCTTTACTTTCAACCTCTTCTACAGCTTTATCTTCGTTCTCTAATACCTCTGTGTCTTTACTTTCTTTACTTTCTTCAACTTCCATTTTTGAAGATTCCTCCTCAGAATGCTTTTCATTTTTATTATTTGAAGCCTCCTCATCCGTATTGTTTTCATTATTTTTCTCTTGTCTTTTGGGACGTCCACGACCACGTCCAGTACCTCTTGGTGTTGCTGGCTCTCTTTTTTCTTTCTTTGGTGGTGAAGGTATTGGCAATGATGCTGTCAAACCACGAGCTGAACTACGAGTACGTCTCCTTCCTTCCATTTCCCCGCTTGGACTTAAATTCTATTAAGTGGAAACAAACAATGCACACATTAGTTTTCTTTTATCATTAAAAAAATATTATTTCATGCAAGTGTTATTAATAAATATTGAAATATAAGAACAAATATAGAATATAGGTGATTTAAAAAAAAAAAAACACCTTATACATAATTTATTAATAATATGACAACACAAATAAAAAACAAATTTAAAAAAAGTAAAAAAAAAAAAAAAGAGTAAAGAGTAGTCAACTTATTTAAATTTGGCGCCTGTATTCTAATTGGTAGAATTATCCCTGCTATTTGCACTCCCCTTCCCTTCCCAATCTTTATCAGCGCGTATTACCCCCACTCCTTTGCTTTTCTTTGCTCACGTAAGCACACACAGCTAAAAGGAAAACTAAATGGAGGGAAATAAGCAAAGGACAAATAGGATTGAATGCTTACTAATTTTAATAAAAAAAAGAAAGAAATAATAAAGATATATATATATATATTCTTTTTGAAACAAAAGATAAATTTTTTTTTTTAAGTATTTACATATTACGAAATTACGTACCTTTGTAATTTCTTTACTTTCTTGTGCTGCTCTCTCAAACGTTGATAGTCTTTTCGTTCCACCGCGTCTGTTTTTAGTTGGTGTTGATTTCTCCTCTGTCGACTGATCCTAAAAAAAAAAGAAGAAAGAAAAAAAAGACATAGGACATTCGTATCAAAAATTCGCCATATATTGCATGATTCGTTTAAAAAAAATAAAATAAAAAGAATAAAAAAATAAGCACACGCACTTGCTCCCAATATATATCGTAACATAAAATGATAAAAAAAAAACGAATAACGTACAAAGTAAACGTTCAAAAGGTAATAACATTAATTGATGAAATAAAAAATGTCTACGATAATTACGCGAGCGATAAGATTATCAAGGGCCGTTGAACCGATCGGGATTTGCAGAATTTTGTTTGAGTTTCCCGCCATTTTGGCGTACATCAGCACATTCAGAGTTCTTCAGTATCAGGATCTCGTTCATGTCGTGTCAAAAAGGATGGAATTCCATAACGTTAAAGAGCGCGTGGCAAGTGTAATCATCTGTCGGTCCGACCATTTCCCGCCTTTTTCACACTTACTCGCCGGCATGCGAGCAGCGCGACTCTCCTCGTCACGAGAATCACAAATAAAAAACATCCACCATCTTTACCAATGAAGGACAAACGGCGCAGCTTTGAAAAATCACTGAATCTTTGGCCATACGCAAGAAAGATCGTGTTTCGAGCCATCTATACGTTATCGTATTACGTTTAATCGCATTGAAAGTAGAGTTGATAACATGCAACACACGGCACGCTTAGAATTTTCGAGAGATACAGCGTCATACCGTATTTCAGGGGGACCGCACGCCGCCTTGGCATGAAAACTCGACTTGACGAAGGTCTTTCATATATTTTCGATCTCTTACCTTTGGTACATCTTCGATGCTATTATCATTCTTGCTCTCTGCCTTGATATCAGACATTTCTTCGTACTTGGATCACTTAAGAACACTAGAAAACTATGATTTCTCAACAAGAATTCGCGCTGAGCCCGGTCGCACTGTTTATACGATAAGCAAAGATGGCGGTTAGCGTGGGTCACGTGATATCGTTAAACTCAGAGCGGGAGTTAATAGCGCCGCCTCGTGATCAAATATTCAATCTTATGCGTAGCGACGTAATATAGGCCCGGAAGGTTTAAATATAACATTCTTTTAAGTGACGTCGTATCTAATTTAATTTACAAAAGGACAAAATATATACGCTTACTTATTTACCACTTACCTCTCATTACAAATACTTTATGCTATTTGTATTCTTTTTCTTTTTCTTTTAAACATATGCTCGAATTATAAATCTTTTATGTTCACATTATTTACTTAAATAAATATTTTCAATTTTTTTCATCGCACGTTTTAAGTATACACGTTTGACATGGTATTAAATGAACATGTAAGAATGTCAGAAGCCAAATGCCCAATTTACAATGATTTGAAATTCTATTGTTTCACCTTACTCTTCATAGAAAAACTAGCAAATTATAAACGATGTACACGCGTATATAAAAATTTGCTAATATATAGTACAGCCTCGTATAACATAGCATTGATCAGATACAATAAATGAATTACAATAACTTCCGTATATAATCATGTTTTATAATTAACAACGTATTTCCACGTCTTCTATGAATAATAAACTTACATAATACGGAATGTACTTGCCATATTATACGGGGTTCACTATAAATACTTTCAAGGCATTTAATGAGTGGGTATTCTTCTGAACCAAAATCTTGCTCTAAAATCATCACTACAAGTCAAAAACGCTGGTGCATTTGGCGAATGAACGATTAATCTTACAGGTCCATTATGACCTAACGATAATAATTGTTTTCTTGATGCATTTCGAGAATTCCAGGCACATAACGATGTAGTAGCTTCGTCAGGAAACATTACATAATCTTCTGTGTGATTAAAAATGGCCTGCGCTTTATGTTCTTGTTTACCTGCAGAATATAATTTCTCATGATGATGATGATGATGATGACGATATGATGATGATGTTTGTTTATTTAACATTTTTATCTGCTTCTATATTTATAAATATTAAAAAAAAAAAATAAGAAAAACTATTCTCATATTTTTACCTGTTGTACCAGCTCCAGTATACGCTATTAAACACCTACTTGTTGATAATTCCCATAACTTTATCAAGGAATCTTTTCCAGAAGATAATAAATACTGAAAATTATAGTTGCAATATTACATTGTAGTTGAATATTATTGAAACATTGTGAATTAATTTTAGTAGGGTATAGATAATTATTTAAAAAACTTACCTTTCCATTTCTTGTAAATGTCACAGAACATACTTCATAACCATCATGTGCATTACCAAAAGTATTTATGCAACGATTTGAGACACCATCCCATAATTTAATACTTCCGTCTTTACCAGCCGATGCATATGTTTTCGCATCAGGGGAATACTTTATAGTACTTATTCCAGCTGTATGCTGATGACTAGGTATACTGCACACAAAACACTGAGCCGTATTAACATCGTATAACCTTACGACTGGATGATTAGTTCCTACTACCAAAAAATCACCAGTCGGATGAAATGATAAGCATCGTATTTGATCAGCATCTGTAATTGTTCGAAATGCTTTCTTGACACTTGCCTTACTAAAGTCAAATAATTTCACAGAAAAATCACGACTGCCAGAAACAAGTATAGGTTCACGCGGATGAAACTCTAAACATGTTACTTCTTCCAAATGATCGTATAATGTTCTTATTACTGGATGACCTCCAGTCTGATCACCAGGTGCCATTTCATCCGGCGCAGATTTTGCTAACATTCTATCAACATCTAAAACTTTAATAGATGCATCCACCGATCCAGTTGCTATTAATTGTCCATCATTAGAAAAAGCTCCCGCTCTACAATTTCCTTTATGAGAAGTAACATAAGCTGTTTCATATTGCGCTGGTTCTGGTGCTTGAGTTTGTGCTTCTGTTTCAAATTCTAAATCCAAACCAGGACCCAATGTATTGTCAAAACTTGATGCAAATGTAGATGATGTATTATTAGTTTCCTTTTTAGTACGATCTGGTTCATGAGTGATACCAATTAACATAAGATGAAATAAACGATCCGATGGTGGACATGGAGTTTCTGATTGAAGAATAGTGTTCAATTGAACAGCAATTGTCTGATGACCATCGTAGTATAATTGACTGTAATTAATATTAAATATTTTCTTTTTATGAAATGTGAGTTGTTAATATTGTTATCATAAATACTTAGACACATTAATTATATTATAAAAAAAAAAAACTAAAATACATATTCAAAAGCATTTCGATTATAAAATTTGATAATTGTTAAAATTAATGAAAAATATATCGAGGAAATTGTTGCTAATGAAAAGTTAAAAATTAAACAAATGTATTTACCTGATCATAAGTCTGTACAATAGTTCTCTATTTTTAATTATATTTTTTGGATCTACATCCGGTTCCTTCATATTGTTTTGGGTAATTTTATTACTCGTTGGCGACTCAATGTTGATAGCTTCTTTGAAATTCTTCGAAAAAAACGCCCATCAATAGACCTTTGTACCTGAGGTTATGTCCGCTTGTTATGATTCTTCTTACGGTCACGTTTTCCAACTACTTTCTGTGCGGTAATTTAATTGGACGGATTTATTCTTCTTCCTAACTTCTACCAATCAAATTGATTTATATCTAGTAGAAATAATTAGAGACAATAATACTTGTATATTTCTACATTTAATACAAAATGGCCAAGAAACATAAACTAAAATCTATCAATGAAAATAAATCGAAAAATATAAATGCTATGAAAACGGTATTTACGAATGATAATTTCGTTGTTAGAAAACGCCAACCTACTGGATTAAATAAACAAAGTAAGTTACACGTATGTGTGACTAAAAAAACATGTTTTAAGGTAATTTATCTCAATACTTACTTGATATTTATTTTATTTTTGTGAAAGTAATGCTATTTGGTTAAGAAACATTATATCATAACGTGATGTGATATATATGTGTATGTGTAAGTGTTTGTAAAATGTTAAAAATAACTACACGTGATTTAATTATAACAAATTATTGTTTTTAAAGGCTCAATTACAAAGGTGTAAAAAATTGTTTAATACTGGTTCATCTGAAATCGTAATTCATGGTCTTGGTGCTGCTGTAGAAAGAGCATGTAATTTGGCCCTTCAATTAAAAGAAATTCATTATAATATCTTAGAACTGGATATTAAAACTTCAACCGTTGAACTTATGGGTATATATATACTTTATAAAGTTACACCTTAACAATTTATTATTATACATATATATATATATAATGAAAACAAATGAATTCTTTTTCTTTACAGATGATATTAAACCGCATAATGATGATGATGATGGTGAAATGAAACTTAGACGTAATTCTGCTATACACATACGTGTATTTAGGAAGGAACCAATCGGATTAATATCAACAAAAAAAAACAAAATATGATCTATCAATTATTATCAAAGCAAGCAATATTTATATAATAATTGTATTGAATATATCAAGCAGAAGTATTTTTCAAGTTAGTTAATTATTTGTTTATTTTTTAATTACGACGGTGCAATGATTTTTTCTTTACATGAAGTAGTACACTGGTTAGGTTTAACTATTTTTGAAATGTGGATCAATTTAGTATCGTTAACGATATTTACTATTTTATTAGCATTAAAATTAGATAATAATTATTTTTTGGAACATACAGGATGGTGGATTGTTTTCTCACCATTGTTTATAGCTGACGGTTTTAATACGTATTTTTGCGCTATTATATTCATACGTATGCATATGGAAGGAATGATTCAGGTTGCTATATTAAGAGCATTATGGAGTTTAATATTGTTGTTGCTAATATTTGTATTTAAATATTTGTTGTGTAAAAAGCTTACTGGTCAAAGTACTTTAGAGTACTCTGAAGTATTAAGTCCTGTTTTTATTCTTTTACAATTAATTGCTGTTAGAGCATGTCAACTTCACTGATCTAAAGAAAAGAAAGAAGTATTCATGAATCTATAATAACATTTCCATTTCAATCATTTACAATGTAAGATAAATATTGCATATAATATGTATTTGCTTATAATGTTTAATTTTAGGGAATTAAAAAATAATATAGCTATAGATTTTAAAATATAATTTTTATGCTATTAATGGAATAATTCAATCTCTTTAATATTAACTTGTTATTGAAATTTTTAATAAAATTGTTTATATATATATACATATATATTTTCATGATAATTATTTATGTCTGTGACATATACATTCTTGCTAAACAAATACTCTACAATTCTTCCATTATATTATGTAGTTATAAACAAAAAGTTTCTTATGTATAATATATAGAAAATAATAAATTCAAAAATATTTTTGAATTTAATAACGCAGTTTCAGTTTATAATTGTTTTATTCAACAGCGGCCATACAATTTCTCTTTTGTAGATTAGTCCTGACAACCTGTTGATATTTCTAACAATTTTAAAGTTACATTTACAAGAAATCATTGATATATATTTTATATAAATGGAAGGGGAAAAATAAAGCTAGTAATGGTATCTTAGTATCATTACATTCTAGAAAAGTATGATGAGTATGAGTATGAAAAAGTAATGTGACTAAAATAATAATTGCATTTACTAATTATTTAACTACGGGTCTCTCTCTGTATCAATACATATTAAAAAACATGGTGGTAATAAGTATTGTTGATATATAAACATTGTTATATTTTTAAATTAATGAATATGTATTACATACAATATCTATATGCATTTGCATCAACACAACGCATCGAGAAGATGTGTGCGTATATATGTGCGCGTGCGAAAATCGATAAATTTTACAGTATAATAGTCCTATCTAATGTATAAACAATTGATAGGCCTATATAACGTGAACAGTCCTGAATACCCCTTCCAACCCTCTTCAAGCAAGATCAATATTTCTAGCTGAAGAGAGACAGAGCATCATCGTTTTAAGGGAGGGGGTGTGAATAAACTCACTCTATAGAGCAAAGCCTGTTGCTAGTATCGCATTTAAATATTTGCCTTTTATCTCTGTGTACTTATTATTTCATTTAGTGATTATTTCTCTAATGTTTAATTAAAAGATTTGATGAAATTTAGTGATGTGCTGTGGTGGTCAGCAGTCAAGGGATGGACAAGCTAACTAATTTTACTCGTGGTCAGTTTTTACTTGTTATTGTATATATATCTGTGATGTAAAAATAGTTATAGTGAGCACTATTTTTACTGATATTATATGTATCAATTGAAAATTATTGATAATAACGTCAATACCAGCATTCTCTCTCTCTCTCTCTCTCTCTCTCTCTCTCTCTCTTTCTATATATAGCATTATTTATATTACTTATTAATTAAATATTATTTATTGATATTATATAATTATAATATTAAAGCTATTTAGAGATTATATGTTAGTATAAATCTCTAATGAGTGATAGTGAGAAGTGATGAATGGAATAACATTAAGTATTTATATTTATGTGTTTTAAAATTATTATTGTTCTATAATTAGGTATCAACACTACAACAACATCTTCGATATCAGAGCAGAATTGTGCTTCAAATTCATCAAGTTCAGCATTTCTTGATAGATTGTTGATTACTTCTCCATCCTTGAATTCTGTAAATCAAGATTTGAGATGGATCTTTCTTCTTCATACTTATGGATTTGCATGCCTTTTCTTTGTACTTGGATTTTACACTTTTTTCTCCATTTTAAATTTAAGGTATTGATATTAATAATAATAGTAGTAGATTTAATATGAAATTATTAGAAAAAAAAAAATTTATTATTATTAATTTTACAGGTCCCTTATATCAAGCCGTCCTTTTATGTCAACGATTAATTTATTTTTATGTTTATTGGGCGCATCAAGGGCTGCATGTTTATTTATAGATCCTTACAATCTTAAAGAAATAATGCCAAAGATTATAGGATCTACTTTGTGGGATATTGGATTTCCTTGTATTACTTCTGCGTTCTGTCTAATACAATTGACCTTCTTGCAATTAACACAAGTACATTTAGAAGATTATTAATGTTCTTTCTTTCTATTTATTTATTTATTTATTTACTTTTTATATTAATTAATAATTATTTGTTATATTATTTATATGTCAACGATGTGTTGTATAATTTTCAGCTTAAGTTTGGACCAGAAAAAATACAAAAGGAATCATGTCTAAGCCTTATTATAACAGGACATTTTTTTTTTGTAATTGTAAGCGACGTTGCTTTAACATCACATAATTGTTATATGGCAAAATATGTGGTGCAAACAGTATTCCTGATATGGAGTATTCTTTTATATTTAACATTTCTTCATGCAGGCTATAAAGTCATGCATTTACTAAGAACAATGCCAAGTAGTATGTTAACAAGAGACAATTCTAATGCTCATCACAAAGGTTTGTTTTTACAATTTATTTGTAATAATTATATCTATAATAATAATGTTGAAATATTTTTTTTTTAGGTATTATGCAACTTGCTATGCTAGCACCATATAGCAATCTTGCGACATCAGTAGCAGCTGCTGCATTGGTGCCTACTTTACTTGGTCCTAAAATCAAAGATTTAGAAAAGAATGAAAATGTCAACGTTGAAGGAGATTCAGAATATAATAATAAAGGTAAATCATATTACAAAGTATATTACAAAAAAAATTGAAATGATGAATAATAATCAGAAGAGAGTATTTTAATTTGTAGGTTCTTTTAAAATATGTAAAAAACGAGAACAAGATCAAATGGAAGTGTCTCGTAATATTTCATCAACCATGCGTGAAGAAACACCTGTTCAACCAGTATCTACTGTACCTGAAGTTTATGTTAGGCCACCGACACCTACTCCATCAACTGCAAATTTGCCAATAATAACAGTCTCCAGTCCAAGTCGAAGAAGTTCTTTAGCTAGTAGACGTGGGAGTGATGCATCTCATCATTCATCACGTAGAAATTCAGAATGTAGTGTTAAATTTATAAACGAAGAAGATCTACCAATTAATGACTTTAAATATAGCACTGAATTCAGTCCTAAACATTCTCCTAGTATTGATAGATGTCAATCACCGGAACGAATAACGCGACGACATTCTGAGAATATTACACCAACTGGTAGTACGAAAGAATTAAGAAGGAGTTCTGATTTTTCTCATGAAAAAAATCGTAGCTCTCAGTTTGCAACTAAATTGAGAAGAAACAGTGATTTCGGTAACAGAACGCCAAGAAGAATGTTACCACCAGTTGAACAGAGATTACCAAAAGTTTTAGATCTCAGTCCTACAGGTAATAATTGCCATAAAACAATTAAATATATTCGAATCATATTACTTAAATATATTAAAAATAATTTCTAGGTTCACGACGTAATTCCGACATTGGTACTTTTATATCTCCTAAACATGAGTCACGAAGAAATTCTGACATATCCTACAGACGGAATTCTGAATTGGCTCAAATCAAACCATTAGTTATAAATCGTCGTAAAAGCGATATAAGTATTAGAACATTGGATAAAAGTCCTACTCATTATCAATGTATAGTTCCTCAAAAAATAGAAATACAGGAGAAATCTGAATCTGATTCAGATCAACCGGATTGTAATGAAAAAGCTGCATTGATGAATGAAAAGATGAAAAATAAAGGGGAAGATGCAAAAATTCGTAAGAAGAGTTTATCTTGGAAAACTGATAAAAGTAAAGACGAATCCGAAGAAATAACAGCAGAAACTAATTTGCTTCCTGAAAATTCTGCAACGGAGAATAAAATAACGGTACATTTAAACGTATACTTAATGAATGCATAAGATACAGCATTACCATATACAACAAGATAATAATTTGATTATTTTTATTTTTTTTATTTTTTTAGAGTACTGACTTTACATTGCATTCAATACTAAATCACATAGCATACGTGAATAGAGCTAAATCTGATGCACCGTTGCATATACCAGAAGCCACTACTGCAGCCATCAGAAGATCTCAAATTCGGAGAGTATTAAATGTCACTTATGCTACTGCAATTTTAGGAATTGTATTATGTATCACAGATCTTGCTCGTGTTTTTGGACCTTATGGTAATATTAACGTTTTATATTTTTTTTTTTTTTTTTATTCAGAAATGAGATTAATATTATTATTATATTAATAAATGATATATATTTAGGACTTTTAGCAGAGACAGTAGCATACAATACGCAGCCATTGTTTACTCAGTTCCCAAAGCCATGGCCTTGGTTATTGTATCAAACATTATGTAGAGCCGTAGAGCTCATAATGGGCTGTGCAATGGCAAGTATAACAAAACAACCATCGGTAAGCCCACGTCATCAATATTTAAATAGTTATCCCAATTATAGCACACGTGTGAAACGGGGTAACAATCTTTATATATAAAGCAATACTCATGTCACAGTCTTCATATAATTAGACTGAAGAACCAAGATGCCAAATTGGATATTTCCATAATCTTCTTATATACCATCTATCTATCTATCTATCTATCTATCTTCATTAAAACATTTATAGATTATTCTTGTATGACCATCTTCTACTAAAGTATAATAATCTTTACTACAAAAATAACATTATAATCAGAACAAATTGTGTGTCTCTAGACGTATAACAGTCAAGTAACAACAACCTATTTCTATTCAATTGTTTCCCCCTGTTTCATACTTAAATAAATCTAAGTTATATTTCTATTTTACAACAACAACAACAATAATAAGAAAAATCTTCAAGATATATTTTATTTTGATATGACTATATTTTTAATGCTAACTGGGTGTGGTGAAACTCAAAATAAATGAAAAGATAAAAGAAGAAAAATGTATTAATATTATAGACTGGTAGAAAGATCAGAATCTGATCAAATACTATAGTAGAATTGCAGCAATAGATCAGTGCAACATTCTAAAAAAAAGTGTGTTCTGATAAGATAACGTTTAACTTTATAATACAAGTTTACATACAACTTAATAAATATAAAGTTTTCATTTGATTATATATATATACATACATATATATATATATATATATATATATTTTTTTAATTAAAAAATATATAACACAATTTTACACTGCTACTTTTTATGTTACTATTATTATCTCATTGAGTATATTATTCTATTGAATATGGTATCAGTAGGTATTTTTTCAATCTAATAAATTTCTTCTACGATATTTATACTCAAATATATATTTTACACGTAAATTTATTTTGAAATTATTAGAAAATATTTCAGAGTAAAACTCTCTGTAAAAGAAACAAAAAAAAAACAAAAAAAAACAAGTATTAATATAAAACGAATGAGGCACTGATAAACAAAAAAAAAAAAAAAAACAAAGTGATAACTTTTTACAAAGTATTCACTGCAACAACAAAGATTATATTTAAACAATTTGTTCCCAAATTTGAAGTGCCCTATTATTAAATGTTTGAAAAATTACTTAGTATTAACGATACTTGTCTCTTGTTGTAATCGTATATTTTTTTCTATAAGCGTTACGCTTAATATGCAACGGTTATTATTAAAAATAATTAGAATGTTCGATTAACATGAAATGTTAATATGACTTTGTCAACATAATGTTTAGCATAATGTTATTTAATTGTCTTTTTTTTTTTTTCTTTCTCAAGTGCCGTTGATTAAAAAGTCTAGAAAAAAAAAATATACGATTACAGTATAAATAATTTGTCATTAATGAAAAAAAAAAAAAAAACAAAAAAACAAGAAAAAAAGTGTAACAGTGTTGTGATCCTAAATGTGATAAAAGTTCATGTACTACAGTTTAGTATGTAGGAGACCGTTTTATGCTTATGCAAGTTTTGCATAATATCTTATTCCGCGAGATGAAAGACTGGTTAATGTGACAAATGTTTATGTTGTTTTTATATTTTTTTATTTTTTATGTTTTCTTTTTTTTTTTATCTATTTTATATATATATATATATTTTACTCTATATATATTATATGTAATATTTATGAAATATTTAAAAAATTATTTGTAAGATTATTCACAAATTGTCAGTTCAAGAAAAGAGACATAATTAACGTGTATTAATTTGTAAATTTTTTTAACATGTTACGAAAAAAAGAAAAAAAAAAGAGGGTCTTTTTTCTCAATATATAACAAATTACGAGCAATTATTATATAATATATATATATATATATATAAATCTATGAGAAAAAAAGTTACTTAATAAAAGCATAAAAGGTCTCGATATTTGTCTATGTAGAATTTATGACAGATTTTAGTAGTTTAAAATATCATTGATGTTCAATGTGCCAAATACTAATGTTATCTTAATTAAAATGTCTACAAAAATGTAAGATTTAACTCAACGCGAGTACTACTCCTATATAAAATATAAATAAAAAAACAACTATTTATATACAATTGGATGTACAATAAATAAAAACATATATATATATATATCTTTTCAATTAAACTTAAAATGAAAAAAAAAAAAAAAAATACAATTGTATGAAAATAATATATAGCACAAGTAAAACTATTTTTATGGATGCAAAAAATTCATTCATTGTGAATATTAAAGAAAATTTCCTGATTAAAGTTAAATCTATATTATGTATATTGTAATGTTAAAACATTGGAATATAGTAATAAATATCTTTACAAACGTAATCATTTAATTATAAATGAATTACAAAACAATTTCACAAATGTAATACATATTTATATAATACATGATTATTAATCACAAAAACTATCATACAGTATTGATGAACAGAATCAAATATATATATATATATGTACACACACTCACATACATACATATGTATTTTATTGCAGTAAAATTTCAACATTTCACGCATTTATGTACTTTCTTTTAGTAGTCGTATTATTTTAATATAACAAGCAATATAAACATAATAACAAATATTGAAAGAATAATATGTGTAATAGAGTATTCAAAAGTTGAATATTTTTATGTGTGACAGTAAATAATAAAAATTCATAGAAAAAGAATGAAACATTTGTTTGTTTTAAAAAGGTAAATATATTAACTTCGTAACATTTTAATTGAAACAACCAATTAATGTACACGATTATGATTTATATATATATATAAAAAAAAAAAAAAAAAACAATACACTAAGCCATAATAAGTTTGAATCTTGAAAACAATGATTCAGATACTTCATAAATACACATTGTATCCTATTATGTATTGATGTTATCTATTTGTTAATTTGTGAAACGAACTGTGAACACTAAAAAAAACTTTAATAATTAACGTCACTGATATATCACCACCATCATTAACAATTATATTATGAAAGACGACGATTGCAAAAAATAATAGAAATAATTAGAAATGTCTTGGCTTTTGTATAAAAAAAAAAAAAAAAAAAAAAACAGAGAAAATAAATCAATGATTGTCAAAAAGTACAAGAATTTAGTGTGACTGAATTTCATAGAAGTATATAATATACTTTTCAAACAATTATTTCTCAAACATTATTATTAATTGCAATTACAAAATCATACACAGAAAAAAAAAAATATATATATATATATTCGATCTCTTAATTTATCAAGATTTATTGTCTCGCTTTAAAAATACGTTTTTTTGTTTTGTTTTTTTGTTTGTTTACGACTTTTGTTTGTTTGTTTGTTTGTTAAGAGAAAAACAGTAAATGTGAAATTCTAACGAGGGATTATTTATTGGAATGATGAATAAATTCGTACAAGTCTTTTGTCAAGCATATTCATACTACAATTATTTTTATTCATAACTTTGTTTTTTTGTTTTTTTTTTTTTTTTTTTTTTAATATTTTTTGTTTTCTTTCTTACTTTCACTCAATTTATTGGAAAGTAGAAAATACATACTTTTCTACCTTCGAATACACAGTATAGAAATTTTATAAGAGACAAGCATTAGAGCTACATGTAAAACAGAAATATTATTCTTTTAACAAAAAAAAAAAAAAAATTACTTATTATATTATACTAAACAACAGATTTTTTTTCTTTTTTTTTTTTTTTAATAATGCATTTTTATCTGTGCCTTCACCAACCATATAATTCATTTATTTAAATTTGACTATATCGTAATGAATAATTTTATTTTATGCATAAATGTACTACTATAAGAAAATTTCTTTGATTATATATATATATATATGTGTGTGTGTGTGTTTGTATTAATTATGTTTGAAAATTTCTATGATTTTTGTTATAACTTATATCCATTAAACGTATTCTTGTAAAACATTGTCACTTTTCATGATACTTACTTGATTGTATTAACGTTAATCCCGATTAAAAGAAATTTCTAAATTCAATCCCCTATATTCAAACAAAGAAACATATTTTTTAAAAGTATAATTCTAAATTGAATGAATAATAAATTGTATAGTCAAAGAAAATTTTTAAATATATATATATAATATGAAATTAATAAATACATTATTAATTCTTCTTTAAAAATAACTAGTTTGAATGAATTCACAAATATATTAGTATATTTAATATTTTTGTTTGTTTGTTTGTTTTAAATTATAGAAAAACAATACGTAAAAATAAACAATATATTGAATATATAAATAGTACCTGTTTGTTAATAATCTTTAATAACCTTTATAATAGAAATAATCTATTTCTGGTTCTGGTTCTGGTGATCTTGAAGAAGTTGATGGAGTTGGTACAACTTGTTGATTTCTTTTTGCAGGTAATGCTAAGATTGTCCTAAAATATCAAATCATTATTATTATTATTAAATATTATTGTAATAATTATACTTTATTTTGTAAAATATAAAAAAAAAATGCAAACTTACTTTATTGAACTGTTGGCTTTTGTAGTATTCAATATCGGGCCTGGAACTTTTCTTTGTCCATTGTTTCTTTGCACAATTTCTAATAAACTATAACTTGGTAACCAACACTAAAGTATAATACATAAATTAAAATGTATATAGAGTTTATTATAACAATAATGAAAGAGAAAAAGGGAGGGAGGGATAGAATATTACCTTATCTTTTACAGCAGTAGCAACAACGTTTCTTTTTGGTTCCAAATCATATGCTTGACTTTCACAACCAAAATGTTCGCAAGATTCGTGAATGAAACGACGCTTATCTCTATTCATACTATCAAATGAATAACTTCTTGATTTTTGTTTAGAAGTCTTTGCTAGTTGAACTAATTCTGTTAATTTGTCATGAACCATTTGACAAAAATGAGGATCTTTTTTTGCCCATTGTTTCATATAATCGGTATATCTTGGCATTAATTTTCCACTTAAATCTGGATTAACAATTTGAAGTCCTAATGCTAATCTTCTATTACGTTCTATTAATTTACATTCATCACTACATTCGAGAATTTTCAATTGATTTTGTTTCTTTGCTCCTGGTCCAAAAAGTTCTTCTAAATCAACAGAATGACCTAGTTGCATATCAGCCATTTTACTAGCTAAAATGTTGCTGGTTATTCTTTGATATTCTCGCGAATTTTCTTCGCATACTCTGGTTGTACTTCTATGTCCACATTGACACGTTACCTACAAATGTAATTTTATTTATGTTATACATTCAGATATATATATATATATTTTTTATAAAAATACTTTATATTATTTTACGTACTTTAACCATTTCTTTACAAGGTATATCAGGACATTTGCCCTCGTGACATGGAGCCGCACATATATGCCCGCATAATTCTCTTAATGTATTACATGGTTGAACACATTGCTGTCCTGGCTTTTCACATGATCCAGGATGACATGTAGTTATACATTTATGTCTTCCACAAGACAAAGGCTTATTACACATTAAGCCACATGAAATTTCATTAAAATAGCATGGAACAGCTTTTCTAAGTTCGTGCTTGCCATAACACCATTTTTCAGTAAGATAAGTACATGGGGGACATGTCAATTCACTGTGACAATTATGAAATACTTCATGACCACAAGAATGATCACGTGAACAAGGTTTATTACAAATGGGTCGTCTAGTTCCACAGGGTACAGGTGGATATATTACAGCTGTACCACATTCACAATACAATTCGTCAAAACTACTTCGCCAGCAAGGTTGACACCTACCTAAATTAAAACATTTTTCATTAAAACATCTTACAAATTTGTAATAAATGTTTAATTTAATAATACAAATTAATTAATATTATTTGATTTGAAACATTTGCAATATTTGTACCTTTATGGCAGGTTTGTTCACATTTATGTCTACCGCAACTTAATGTTTTAGAACAAGGTAAAGGACAAATATGTTCAAGATCAATGCAACACATTTGATTACACTTATGTTTTCCGCAAGATCTCTTTTTAATGCACTTCTTTTCACAACGTGCATCATCCGCCTTGGTCGTTAAATCTTTACATTGAATTTCTCTATCCATATTACCGCAACGACATTTAACGTCCGTTGTTAAATCACATTCAGGACAATCTCCTTGATGACACTTTACCTTGCACGTGTGTGGATTACCTTTAATATACAAAAAAAATAGAATATGAATTATTGTTATATATCTTAGAAATTATAATATAACGAGTGAGAAATAATAAAATGATTACAATACTTACTAGGTTGACCACAATTAAGACGTTTAGAACATATCTCTTCACAAGTTGGAATTGGATCTAAACAAGATTTTCTTTCATCTGACAGTGGTGTTCGTCCACAACAGCATGTTGTAATTTTATCAGGTGTAAATGCACAAGGCTCGCATGAATTGGAATGACAAGGCTTTTTGCATTTATGATTTCCACAATCTAATACCTTATCACAGGTATTTTCACAGGAATATGTTGAAGATACGTCAGATTGACAAGTTACATCTCTTTTACTTTTTCCACAATAACATTCTATAGTTTTTTTTTTTTTTTTTTTATATAATTTTTATTATTATCAATGTATAATATATAATAAAAAATACACACAAACATAAGCAAATATAAATAATATTTCAATAAATATCATTGTAAATAATGTTAAATTACCTTGTTGTTTAACTTTATTACAAGGTTCACATTCCCCATGATGACATTTATTTTCACATTTATGCTCTCCGCAATTCAATAATTTACCACAAATAGAATCGCAGAGTAATAGTGTTAATGTACAGCATTGTAACGTTTGTGATGTTTTACCACAACCACAATTTTTTGTTACCATTGCTATACATGACGGACAAGATCCTGGATGACACAACAAAGTACATTTATGAGGGCAGTTATTTTTGATTCGAGATCTTCCACAAACTTCACCACAAGAATGAGCCATATCTCTGCGATTCCATTCAGGCATTTTTGTTTTCCCACAGAAACAAAAGTATTCTTCAGGAATCATAGTGCTCACATTTTGACACGCGGGACATCTCCAACCATTTTCTGCAAAAGGAAAAACAATAACAAAATTAAATAACTTATTACACATTGTTTGTAATTGAAATTATTTGTATAAAAAAAAAAAAAAAAAAAAAACAAGAGAGTACCTGCTTGAGAAGATTTTGCCCACTTTTTGATACACTTTAAATGTAAAACATGATAACAATTGGAACAAGACCAAATGTAATCATTTTGTTTGATATATTCGCAACATACTAAACATTCCAATTGTCCTCTATTTAACTGATCTGTTAATCTTTCTCTTTGACTTGCATCATCATCTACAAGAAATTAGTTACTATTCAATTAGTAAATTGATATAAGTAAGAAATAACTTTGTAATTGAAAAATAATTTATTATTATTATTATTATTACCTTCGTGCTTTTTATTCGTCTTTCGTTTAGTAATATTACTTTTATCATTGTTTTCTCCCTTTTGTCTCCAATTAACAATTTCTATCGATTTAGTTTCTTGATTTATATCTTTGTTTTTATATTTATCCTTAGTAGTATCTACTTTACTTTCTTCATGTCTTTCCTTGTAATTATTATACTCCTGATAATTATTTTTTCTCTCACGATAATTATTATCATATTTACCAATTTTCCGATCATTTGATACTTTTTTACCATATTTAGCAGGAATACGTTGTGTTCCATAATTAGTATTATGACGTTGATAATTATTTCTACTCGATTGTTCATAATTTTGACTCGTAGTTCCACCAGTAGCATCGGTATTTTCTTTATCAGCTTTTACATGATCATTGATTTCATGTTCTTCTTCGATGTTAGATACATTAGTTTTATTTGCATTGACATTATTTGCATCAACATTCATCAATTTGTCATTCCTCTGAGTTTCATCGTTGGTTGCATTATTTTTAGGATTATAAAACATACCTCCTGATTCTTCAGAAGCTAAAATGAAATGTTCAAAGTTATTTATATTATTCATTTAATCATTATAATACATGGTGGTGCATATATATAAAACATCACTACTTACCATTTGAATATTTTCTATAATTTCTGCCATGTTGAGTTTTATAAGAATTTTGAAATGAATTTCTTTGCCTTTGAAAATTATAATCCTGCGTTTCTTTGTATTTGTAAGAATGATTTTTCTTCGCATTATATTTCTTATTTTTATATTTGTTCGCATTATCAGTAGAATAAGTTTCTTGCGGTAAATTAACTTTAGATTCTTCCGAATTAGAAACATTTATACTTGCGTTAGTTTGATTTGTGTAATTTTTCATTCCATGCGGTACAAATTCATTTGCAGTGGGATGTAAATTGGAATGTTCGACAATGGTGCTATTGTTGCGAGTAGTAACATCTTTAGAAAATTCATATTTATTGTTATCTCGATAATTTTTAACACGTTTCCCTTGTCGATTGCTTTGATAATGATAAGCTGACATATTATTCTGTGACCTACTGTTACCTTGACAGTCTTGTGCGCTGCCGCCTGTGGCATTTAAGTAATCTGGGCAAGCGTCTCTTAAAGGCATTGAATTTAATGAACTTGATGAAAAGTTAGGATCCGTTTGACACGAAGCAGCAATATGCTGTTGTTCACCTTGTCCCAACATCATTGAAGTATTTTGCGAATATGGTGCATGAGTACTATGAAAAAAAACGTTGCTCCCATTACTGGGATAAAAAGTCCAACTTTCTAGATTATGTATGGCACTATTTTGACCCGAATAAAAAAAATAATTTGAATCTTCTGGTTCGTGACATGAGCCATCCCAAGTGGCCATACTGTTTCAAGGAATTGAATATCGCCTCCTTTTAAGAATAAACGGAATTTAAGTTTATATGTATATGTATGTATATATATATATATATATATATATATATATTATATATATAATATATATATGTTATGTTCAACTTTGTTTCAAATCCTTTCTTTATTTCTTTATCAACAAAATTTTCAAACAATTAATTGGCAGTGATTATAACAGACCTGATTCGTAATCGATGTTTCGAACAACACCTTAATACTGCTTCTTTTTTTTTTTTTTTTTTTTTTTTTTCTTTCTTTAAACTAATATTTTCATCTCTACACGTTGTTACGAAAAATTGTGCAACGCGGAACAAACCGTATTACACTTTGACTATCTATTTTATTTAATAACTGTACTCCGAATAACCAGAAAAGATAATGGAGATTTCGATGCTTCGAATGATCATCTAAAAACTATCTAGTAAAATTATGTAGTTATAAAAGACGAAGCTAAAAGAGAGACCAATTGTATTTATCCCCTATCTACTTAACCATTTTTTTTTTGCTCTCTCTCTCCCTCAATTGATTCGGTTGAATTACAGAATAGGATTATTATTATTATTATTTGTAATATATCAATGGTTAAATTACATCTACAAAAGTAATATTAAATTATTTCAAAACTTACCTTACGATCTATAAGATAAATTGAACTTTTTAGTATTAATTAATTACCTAATACTAGAAATGCTTAAAAGATATTAGATTTATTTCTACGATCAAAGAGATTGGTTTAAGGTGATATAGAATGAAACAGTCAAACATAGAAATAGAAATTTGTAAACGCGGCTTAACATTCAATTGCACATGTGTATCAACTTGATTTTAACAATCGATCCCATTGGACGAACTGTTGTAGCACGTGACTTTCGATATATTTTCATATAAATGAAATAGGTGTGTTATATTGTCAGCTGACTTTACTCTACTAGTACTTGGATCCATCATCTATCATCGATTTTATTATTATTATTACATTGTCATTTTTATTCTTTAATATAATATATTTTCTATAAAACTTATTTTAATAACAATGACACTTCATTCAGCTGGTAAGGGTAAACTTTTAGCAGTGATTGGAGATGAGGTAAATTATTGATTGATTTTTTTGTCTTCTTTCATGCTTCAATTTTAATTTACAACACATATGACATGTTGTCAATTTGTTACACATTTTCTTACAATTATTTATCATTGATCATAATTTTTGTTCTTTTTTTTTTTTTCAGGATACTTGTGTAGGATTCTTACTGGGTGGTGTTGGTGAAATTAATAAACATCGTCAACCTAATTTTATGGTTGTCGATAAAAGTATATATTATTTTTTTTTAATCATTATAACAGTGTAATAATTAATTACCATCTATGAGATATATTGTTGCATATCTATTAAGAAAGAAAATCTATTTTTCAGATACACCAGAAAGCGAAATAGAGGATACGTTTAAGCGTTTTATTAAAAGAGATGACATTGACATTATTCTCATTAATCAAAATGTGAGTAAGTTAAGGATTAATCTTATGATATGATGCACAAATATAATACATTATTTATTTGTTTTGATTTCTTTCGAATTGTTATTAAATAATTTGTTTATTTATTAATACGTTTTAGGTAGCTGAAATGATTAGACATGTTATCGACAGTCATACTCAGCCTATACCTTCTGTATTAGAAATTCCTAGTAAAGATCATCCTTACGATGCTAGTAAAGATTCTATCCTAAGACGTGCTAAGGTATGATCGATTTATAAATATTCAAACAAATTTATATATATATATATTTATTGATAATATATTTTTTCTTTTCTTTCTCAGGGAATGTTCAACCCAGAAGATATACATTAAGAACTATATATATCATGTTGAAATAATAAAAAAAAAAGATATAACTCAAGTAATTATTGAAATTGTATAATATGAAAATTCTACTAATGTTATTATCATTTCTGTTTTAATAATAAGATTAGAAATGTATATATATATATACAGCATTCCACGATTTATGTTGTATTTAGAAGACAACAAAATTATAATAGTATATTAAAATCTAAATCAATCATATTTTATTTCGAATTACTGGAGTTTTAAAAAGTAATTATGTTCTATAGTAAATATTAATTCACATTTAATTATTATGTTATGAATTAAATAAAAAATAAAAAACGTATATTATTAAAAAATGCAAATTTTAGTAAATTACTGAAATTAATATTTTTTGTTCAATAGCTTTAACATACGTATATATTATAGAAAAAGAAGAAATTTATTTTTCAGGTATACCCCTTTAGGGTGTTTACCCTGAAGGCCCCCCCCTACATGTTCGTTCCCCTTGACAATATACTTAATTCTAATTATACCCTAATATAATATTAGATATTAATATTAACAATATAAAACAATATAAACAATATAAACAACATTAAATAATATACCTCATTTAGTAATATACGTATATATTATATTATATTATATTATCTTTATATTATCCATTATATATAAATAATTTAATATATTTATATTATATATATATATTAATATAATTAATATTTAATTTAATTTATAATTATTACAAAAAATATAATCAACATATAATTTCACGATACCTTGTTTAATATTTTCAGAGTATAAAATTTAAAAAGAACAAAAAAAAAAAAGAAAAAACAAATCTCTAATTCTTCTTTCTAAGTATCTGAGAGGAATATTCCATCGATTCCAACCAACATTTCAAATCTTTCGTTATTTCTGGTAAATGTATATCTGGTTCTAATTCTTTTATGAATTCTGTTAATGGTAGCTTTAAACCGATCGGTGTAATTTTAGTGAAAATTACTGTATGAATAAAATTATTTCGTGGATTTATTAATTTGCATTCATAATATAAATGTTTCTCGTCCAAATGAATCAACTGTAAACAAAAAATATTGTATCGTTTTGATCAATGAAAGTCAGATATATATATATATACCTTAAATTTGTCGATTTTACCTTCATTACAATTTTATATACCATGAGAAATGGTACCGTTCGTCGATATCTTGTGCATGAACCACTGACAACTGTAGTGATGCCCATTCTTGTCATCCTATCAAACATATTAGTTCGAATGAAGTTATCTAAACGAGCAAAATCTAATTCACGTAGATATCTTGCATTGTTCATATGTAACGCATAATCCAAGTCTTGTGTAGTACAGATTCCTGTATAATCATCATATTAAAATATTAAATCAAATGATCATACGTTTTATTATATTAATGCCACGTCGATGTGATTACGTAAAGAAATAATATACGCATGGAAATAAATTTCGTGTTAATGAATAAATTATAAAAGAAAAATGAAATAATTAAATAAATATGCTTACCATAAATGGACGTTTCGTCAATAAGTTTAACCTTACTTTTAAAACATTTAGCCCAAATGAATGTAAAGAACATTCTAAGAAAATAATTAAAATCAAAAATGAAATAAATACTAAATAGAATTGTTACAAGAAACAAGTTGAACATTTTGATATATAATTTTGGTTTCAATAATATTTCAATAATAGAAACAATTAATATAACAGAAAAAATAATATTATATTTATAGAAGAAACTACGAAAAGCAAAGCATGAACTTTCATTCACCGTTGGTGGATACAGACTGATTATTTTGAAAAAAAAATGGCTTACAAATCGAACTACTAAACGATTCATTATGCTAATATGTATTAGCAAAAAGTTAACGTTGTGTAATATTATTATTATTACATAATGAACAATGTGGTTTTACTAATCTTTTTATGAAATATATATATATATATATTTATATATATCAGAATATTCGAATAATAATTGTTAATACAGACGGCTGATAAATTATACTTGCTATCTTGTTTATTATAATTATAATATCTAACTTACTTTTGATGTTAGAAAATAATTTTAATATTCATTACTACATTGGTAGAATATAATTAATGTTTTATTTAAAAAAAAAATATATATATATATATAATTATAAACTATATTGCATATTTAATTTAAATAAATTATATACGTATATGAGAACGTATGATGAACAACGTTGATGACTGATAAACAACTTAATTTGATTTACGAAGAAGAAGAAGAAACAAAAAATAGTCAATGAATATAAAATTAGTTTTAAAAATATCGATATGAATTTTTTTTGTAAATATTTTATTTTTCTCCAGATTTTTTTTTTTTAGACGACAACATTGAGAATAATATTTACAACGTAATAATAATCATCATTTTCTTACAGAACGATTTAGATATACAATAATAAAGCGTCTTTCGCTATTCGCTATTATTATTATTATTATTTTGCTTCTATTAATTATTTCTCTAAACGAACACTATGGATTTAATATTTGTCGTCCGATTGTGCTTAGAATAAAAATGTATTCTATTGATTAATTATAAATAGACGATAGATTAAAACTAAATTCGCTAGATTTTCTTTTACTTTTTTTCTTTTTTTTTTTTTATGTTCAACTGGTGCGATGTAGCAAAATCAAATATGAAGAAAACAGAGAAGAACAAGTGGAAAGGTTTTTTTTTTTTTTGTAAACATTACATTTGAGATTTATTGTTAAAAATATTTTGATATTTTTGACTATTGGTATCTTGTAAATAATATATTACACCTTATACCTTTACCTTCCTAGGTGAATGAGTAATATACTATTATCTTCTTTATTATTATTATTATTCAAATAATTTCGCAAAAATTCGTTTGTTATCTCGTACAACGTAAAAAACAATTATTTTCTTTTCTTTTTTTTTCAGATAAATTAATGTATATATATATATATATTTTTTTTAGTCATTATTATTAATTCATTAACTTTCAAATTTTTGGCTGGATAAGTTATGTATATATGCACAAAAAATATGGCGTACGTGGTGTACGTAAAATTTCAAAATCTTTAAATGGAGATCGTGAAATCTAATGGGATTAAGGTATACGTTTTAAAGATAAAAAAAAGAACATTGATCCATGGGAAAATTGATCATTAATCTTCTCGTTCTCCGCATGTTTTTGAAATGATGCGTAATAAAGATTAATCATGGAAATCGTTTTTTTAAAAGAAATATTGTATTGTCAAAATGATTAATGGTGATTTTAAATTATATATATATATATATATAGTATTTACGATAAATTTTTCAAGATAAAATCATATTTCTATAAAAATTGAACTTTCCTATTATAAATTCTATAGTACTATAAGCGTAAAATTCACGATAATTGATGCTTTGGTTTTATTGGTTTTTTTTTTTTTTTTTTTTTTTTTTTGAGTCTATCAGTTTTTTTCGTGAATTATTGTTATAATATAAACGATATTTTGAATATAAAGGTTATAAAGTTTGATTTTTAATAAGAAAGGAAATAAGTGATTGGAAGAAAAATTTTGCCAAAAAAAAAAATTCATCAAGATTATAGATATTATTATTTATATATTTTTGTTGTTGTTGTTGTTGTTTAATTAATCAGTGCGTAAATAATTTCATATTAATCAAATTAAATTCAAGAACAACGATAATAATGTGTAATAATGACGCGATTTACTTTTACATTATACCTTTTTTTTGTTTTTTTCCTCTCACAAATTAACCCAACACACCAAATATTGAATAATAATTATCAAAATGATTCAAATTCAAAACCTTAAAATCAACTTGTAGATAAATATAATATATAAATAACTTAGGCCATTCTCGTAATTATCGGCTCATATATAGATTTTCCTTTTTTTTTTTTTTTCAATTTTTTCAAAAATTGCTACATTTACATATAAGAGTGTTTCAAAGTATGCGGATGTAACTTCAAGACTTTAACGGGGTATATAATTGTATGAACCTTCAAAATCTTTAGCATTACAACCGCTTGCTTGTTTACTAGTTCATCTTGTAAAGGAACATATACAATAATTGTATGAACCTTTTTTTCTTATTTTAGCGTATTGAAAGCACACACACCTGAAGTTACGTCTACATATTTTCAAATATTCTCTGTATACAAAGATAAATAATCTTGAATTCTTGATACCAACCATTATGAGGAGGTATTTCGAGTAATCAATGAAATCAAGTTTAATTATCCCGTATAATATAATCACATGAGCAATACATACAAGTTAATCATATTATGCCTCAAAGTTTCTAGGAAACATAGCGCATATATATATATATATATTTATATAAATACATATGTATTATATTATATATTTGCACGCAATTTTATGTATCGGTGTTTCTCTTAGTTCATTTGTTCGTTCATCAAATTATTTATAATTTTGTTCAAAATTAATTAACATTGCTAAAGTATATTATATCTTCATTTGAAAAAATGCATTTTGTTCTCCCACGTTTTTTTTCGTAACTCAAAGAATGTCCAAACGTATCTTATATTTCAAATATGTATGTGTAAATATTTGTTTTCTTTTTTTTTCGGTTGTCGCAACCTTGACGCAACCCTGAACAGTCAATTTAAAGCACCGTAATATTTTCACTTGTTCTTTTTTTACATATATATATACATTGTATATATACATAATGTTTATAATTATTTGTAAAGTATAGTAAGAGAAGAATTATACAAGAAAAATGAATATATTCATTTTATAAATATAGGAAATATCTCTTAAAATAAGATGAGAATTATCGTTAAATGAAGAAAAGATTAATTCACTTGGAGACGTAGTTTTGAAAGAATGTACAACATATACATATACATTGGGGTGTTTCTTTTTTTTTAAGTCACGTATCGTTAATTTTTTTTTTCGTTAATAAGTCACGTATCGTTAAATCTTTTTTTTTTAAAGTCACGTACCGTTAATTTTTTTGTTAAACTGTAGTCGTTACGTAGATAGTTGTTTCTGCAACACCAGCGGTCGCATTATCATTTTGTCAGCAAATCGACGATGCCGCCGTAGTTGTCGTCGTCGTTGTAGTCGTCATTGTTGTTGTTATGGTGTTAACCGTAGGTGCACTAGATTGTCGAAGTATCGCCGAAGATATTTCATTGCTTTCCAACCATCTTGCTACATCTGGCGGTAATTCTGGCCTCACATGAGTTATCTAGAAAATTTCTTATAATATTAATAACTCAATATTATGAAAATTGTGATAATTAATGTAATAATGATAATATAATATTAACACACATTTACAAAATCATTTTTTTACGAATTATTGTTATCGATGGGTTTTTACAATAAGATCGGATAGACATGCGTTGCATAGTAAAAAACCGAAACTGTTTCAAAACTCCAACTATTATATTTAGAAAGAATTTTTCGTCCTAACTGTAAAAAAATCACTCGCTACATGATAAGACTTTGGCGACAAAGTGACGACAAGTGCATGATATGTGTTAATATAATATTTAGTAAATGATTATTAATTATCATTCAAATTTACTTTCATTAAAAACAAAAATTTAGTGTAACCCATTCTCGTATATAGAACGTACCACTTTAATATTATTTTTATAAGATATATATATATATATATATATATATATATATATATACTTTAAATAAAAGTTTTCCATCGTTAAATATACAATTAGAAACAATTTAACTTTGCCTTATGAAACAAAAAATGAATAATTGGTCTGATAATTTACAATTATAATAAGTTTGCTGAAAGGATCTATTTTATATTCACATTAGTTACATAAATGTAATTATGTTAATTGTAATTGGAATATAAATTGATGTAATTATAACATTGTGCATGAATCCGATATTAATCTATTAATTGCATTAAATCATTTTTATTATTATTTGAGCCAAACTATTAATTTGTAATAATAAAATTCATAAACTCAAAATAGAAAAGCGATAAATTAACATATATATATATATATGTGTGTCCATAATTATGAAAGTGGTCTAAGTAAAAATTAATAAAAAAATGAGTTTATCAATTATTACGCAGCACATTATTATAAACTAAATAAATTCAATGTAATTGGAAACGATATTATCCAAAAATGAATCGTCAGATAATGTTTGTTATTTCAATATTATATTGAATTCATATAATGTTCAAATATAAATCTTGAAATATGTCGAAACAAGAGATATATCACTTAGATCACTTTTATAATTATGGGCATAATTAATAGCAATATCATCAAATATGAATGAAAGAATTATTGACACACTTTTTTACATCATTTCTAGAAGAGATCAATTAAAAATCAATTATTTATAATGTGTGGTAACGTTGAATAATAAATTATACATTTATATAATATTTATTTAATTGATTTGAAATATTACCTGTGTAACTCCCGACTCGATATTACCATTTTGTTTAACTCCTCGATCTACGAGAGTACCCATAACCGTTTCTGCACTGCAATCTAAAAGTTTTTGCCTGCAGATAGCAATAGCACGTATAAATCCGTCATTTGGTGTAACAAAACGATGTTCCATAAAAATCGTTCTTTCGTCCCAATAGATGATCTGAAATATAATCAATTAAATATTAGATAAAATATGAAAAGAAAAGAAAAGACAAAAAAAAAACAATCAGAGAGCAAGTTTTCTGATGAATACAAAATATACCGATATGATTCTAACATTTTGTACAATTTTTGTAAAAAATCGTCGTTTCAACTTTTATATATACGACACATTGAAATTAATAATCGAATTGAATAACAGGAAAATGTAGATTCTTTTGGTATTATAATTTCATTCTGATTAGAGGTATACATTTAAAACGAATTTAATTTCAGTATTTTGAATGAGATTATGAGATTATGAAAGAATTTGTTTGGTGAGAGATATTTTTTTCAAAATTTGTATATATATATATATATATATATATATATGTGTTATCGTAAAAGACCAAAATTGGAAAATATCAAAATCCATAGATGGTCGGTCGCTTGTCAACACATACTAAATACGTCGGGGAAAGATCAAATATATTTGGGTTTATCCTTATATATAAATATACTTCTCTCTCGTTTGTTCGATCAATATCATAGTTGAGATTCTTTTAAGTGGTTTTTTTTAAAAAAAAGGACAATATTTATTCAGCAATAAAGAAGAGAAGGAAAAATAAAGCAAATCAAATGAGAGAAATAATAAGCGATGGAAAGAATATATATATATATATATATATAAATGATGAGAGGAAGAATGAAAAAAAAAAAAAAAGAAGAAGAAGATAATTTATGTTTACCAGACAGGTTGAAGAGAATTTTGAAGAGTTGAAAAATTTTGGGATAAAAAAAACAATGGTGTCTGTATATATTTCTCACCTTTGAAGTTATCTTATAAATTGTAAGAGGTTTGAGAAACCGACGATAACGTATCGTAGCAGCTCCTTGCACAACACCTGATCCTTGAGAGCAAATTTCACGGTAGAGACCCGTTCGTTCGTAAAAGTCAGCACGAGCAAAGTCCAATTCTCTTAGGTATCTCGCATTGTTCATGTGATAAAGTAAGGTGTCGACGTCAGTCGTAGTGCAAATACCTGATAAAAGAAAATGAAAAATATAGGTCCAATAATAAAATGAAGATCATTTATCTGACACTGAGAAATAATGAAGATATCAATTATTATTATTATTATTATTATTATTATTATTATTATATTATCAATTATTTTGTATCCTATCGATCACAGCTGATTCTTTCTATGGGTCAAGGTTTTTGCATGAAACATATGCAAGGCCGACAGAAGCAATCGTAAGGATTCTCCTGGCTTGCTTGCTTGCTTGCTGCATTGCTTATCTTGTCCCGATCGATCGAGGCTGCGAAATTAATATATATATATATATTTGCAATTGGATGTTTCTTTTTTTTTTTTTTTTTAATTTAGAGAACATGTTAATTTGTCCTTTGTAATTACATTACATATTAATTTTCTTTAATTGAGTAGAACGTGCAAATGAAGGATAGTCCGTGAATGTTTTTATCAAACAGATTATCAGAGGACTTCGCGTGAGAGTTTATCTTGTTATAATTGTATAATTTAATTTGTTCTAAATTGTGAAAAAAAATTGTTTTCTTTGTTAAAAGATCGACAATTTTAATTTTAATAACAATCTAAATAATAATCGAACAAATTTACAAATTTCAATCATTCTTTCAATATTGGATACAAAACAAAAGGAAACAACATACTTCAAATATCTTTTTCTCGTAAAATTATGAGTGAACAGAGAGAATAGATGGAAAGAGAAAGAGAGAGAGAGAGAGAGAGAGAGAGAGAGAGAGAAAACAAAATAATACTCGTTACCAGTTATTACTAGTAATCAAAAGTACTTACCGTAAACCGATGCTTCGTCAAGTATATGAATTTTCTTTTTGCAAAATCTTGCTAGGAAGACTGTAAAGAGCATACGCAGAAAATAATGAACTTCAACGAGTAAATGAAGGAGTACAACGGCACCGAGGACACCGGCTAAAATCCAACAAGTTATCATCCTAATATTTGTCGTTATTTCTTAGAAGATTTTGTTTTACTCTTGAGGATGACAATAGTCAATGGTTTGTAGAGTCAGACTTTGGAAGCTTTTAGGTGACGGGAAGCCGTGTTGTTATCGATTCGAGCTTGAGACAATGTTGTCGGTATAAAATTTTGATATCTTTTTATCATGTTAAATAAAACTTTCCCTTTGTTATTAATATTAATGTCTTTATTATTATTATTTATTATTTTTTTTTTCTTCACTGTATCATCATTATTCTTATGGACATTTCATAATTCCTTAGGGGAAAATTGTCTTCATAATTATTTAATTATTCAACGACGAAGAGCTGCTCTTCTCTTAGTATTATTTATTTATTTATTTGTTTATTTGTTTATTTATTTGAAAGATTTTTTCCAGCCTCTTCACGTCAAAACTAGGAAGACTTTGATACTGCAACTCAAGTTTCTCGTGCTGTAAATCAATGTACAAATAGCTCAAGCATTTTCACGGACAAAGTTCGAAACAGTGTTAAATTATTGAATAAATAAAATTACTAATGAATATTTAAGTTGAACTTCTTTTTTTTTCTTTTTTTTAATGTTAAACGCATTTTAAATAGATGTATTACAAAGTTTTAATGATTTAATTATAAATAATTTGAATATGTTTATTACATATAATATTCATTATTCATATATATCAATTTTTTAGATTATATAATTATATGTAATAAAAATATGGAAATTACATCTTTCGATTATAAATGTTTATATCACCTCGAAGTTGATAATTAAAAAAAAGAATCATCGATGATTCATATAATTTTATTTAGAAACTATAAAATACTTTGAACAAAACGGAGATGCAATGAAACAAATATACTTATTTATTTTGTATGCTCTATTCAAACGTTTTCCTCCTAGATCCAAAGATTCCGTCAGAAATGAAATTTAATACTTGCATCTTGTTTTTTTTTTTTTTTCTTCTAATTATCTACACTTAGTTATTGATTATAACGCGTCAAAATG